AAAACACAATGAATTTTTTGGTTGTTGTTGTCTCATAACGAGGGATTATGATAAACATGCGACATCACTAATGCATCTTTTACATTGCAATCGTACGTTGTATGATAAATAGTATTAGTTTATTAATAATATTTCGATACTTCTTTCATTGCAAGAAGATTACTGAGTAGCTTCAATGCAGCGGTTTCCCTGTCTGTATAAATCACTATCGTATTGAATAAATATCACTATCGTACCATATTTTTATAAATATTGTTAAGTTTTTCTTTCTTCTGACACCAGTTCGTTACGTTATATCCTTCCTTCACGTTCGTACGGGGTTCGTAGATTTGGAGTGAATAACGACGACACTTGATGAAGTATCGAAACACACTTTATTTATCAATATTAATCAGGACAGCTCCAAAACACTTTTGCAGTCGTCGAAGATCTACTATAAACACGTTGGAACAATCAGCAACACAGCCTTCACACTGTCAGGCAATAACGGTGGAGCTTCCTGCAAAGCACCAGACAGCTCCTGACTCTGCTTGGTCGTTCTCGGAACTCCACGTACTCTCGAGACTCTCCACGCTACAACTCGCGATGCACTAGACGACACACGAGCACAGCTCCCGACTCTTCGGTTTAGTCGTTCCCGGAGCTCAACACGCTCTCTCGACGATGCTCTAACCGCGATACACTAAGAGACTCCTTCGGTGCACTCGACGACCCACTCGGCACACGTTGCCCAGCTGTCAACTCGATCGACTCCGCACGGCTTGCTAGACGAGGCACACTCACTGAGACACACTAATTGACAGAGAACCAGCAGGGTTTATATAGCTTTCGGCTTGTGTTCGAAAACATTCTGGGCTAAAACGGTAAGAACTCGTTCCAGAAAGTTCTCCATCCGTCCATGGTTTATCGCCAATTTTATCGCCAAATGGGCGATTTCTCGCCAAATTCAACCCTGCCTTCCTTTGCCATTTTATGGAAACCCTAAAACTGCTTTATCTTACAACGCCTGTACATTTCGTAACAATATTTTTTTAAAAAATAATTAGGCGACTTCACTCAGCATACGAAAGTCATCTCTTCAATGCTTGAGCCCAGAGTTCACTTTTGAGACGCCATGCCACGGCCAGAAAGGTCCCGAACTGAAGGCTCAGCACTAGCACAGCAGTTACGGATATCGACTTTGTCTGCTACAATTTATTTGCAAACATCGCCATAAAAAAATCTGCAGCAGCATTCTACAATGACAAATGTTTCTGATTGCCACATTTAGATGGCGTCAGAAGACCACACAAGAACGCAGTAACAACACTTGCACCGCCGCTGCAGTATGCTTCTTCAAAACGTGCGAGATAAAATTATTTCAAATGTTCAAAGTCATAACTATGATTATAATTAATTTTATTTGCAACCAATTCTCAAATATTTCAGAACTTTAACTATGTTTCTGAATAAACGAAAAACAGTACTTTTCACAAAACAAGTTTCCAACTAGCAGAGGATGACTGGAAGCAAAAATTACAGGCAGTTAGTTGATAACAAAAGTGATGAGAAATTGTATATGTAAACATTATCCTGCTTTGGCAATTGTGCTCAATTGCCAATGCCAAAGCAGCATGACAGGAGAAAGTAATTGCCAAACAGCATAATATAGGTATATAATTGCCAGAGCAGCATAAGTATAGGAGATAATTAAATAGCAAGTTTTAACAGAAGTCATACTTAAGATGCGAAAAAAGTCCAGTTGTATTAGAGTTTTGACATCAGTAGCGTTCTTAGGGAAATCCTTTAAATAACTTTAGACCGTTACATTCTTCTTATTACGCTATGATACGCTATCATACATATATCATCGATCGTCTAGAGAGTTACTGGAGAAAATATAACGCCTTCTATGTAGCCGCACAATGTCAGCTTTCAGAGAACTTCTATTTAGTAAAATAAAATATATTTAATTTTTTTCCAAAATTTAATCAATCTGCCGTTTTTTTAACAAAGTGATTTAAAATCTGTTAAAAATACAATACTTAATAAATTAAGTTTTATGTTCCGTTCTTTTCATGAATGTCTAATTAGCATAAATTAAAATTTGATGAAATTCAAAGCCTTAATGTAATAAAGCATGCTTACACCAATTTTTCTTCATTCCTATAATCTGCCTCTTTTGATTTAGCTGCACCATGCCATTGTAAAACCAGCAATCAGTGCCTCCTTTTCTGAAATCTAAGGACTTTTTTGTAGTGCCCTAGTTTCTCAATGCCTGAGCACAAGCTTACATTGCTTGATGATCTATATATTACTTATGATGCTATATTATATTGCTTGATGCTTATATTTATGATTACATTGCTTGATCGATCCACCCTTGTTTACAACGCCATCTGTTGAACTACTCTAAAATAGCCCAATATAAAGGGGACATATAGTGCTAGTTATATAGAAGTTTTAAAAGTTCATATTGACAACTTTTTATTTAATTCGTTATTTACCGTTACCAAGTATTTAAATAGTATTAATATCCTGCCGGCCATACAAGACACTTTTTAACCTTGCCTTTGTGAATGGCATTAGCACGATACATAGTGATTTATCTTATTTACTTTCCGTCTGTGACATAAAGTGGCCTCGATAAATTGTATTTACGTGCTTACAGTGATGATGAAAGAACACTATACTGGCCATTGACTCACCCACACCAATAACACAAGATTTGAAGTGGCTGAGTCATTTTATTTCTTTGGAGGTTATCGGACACAAAGCAAGAATAATGGTCATTCCAAGAACAGCAAAGCATGAGCAATGTACCAAGAAGTGTTACGAGCTCTGTTGTGTATTGCTTTGGGGACATATTATGTAAATAAGGTTTATTTTGGGAAATAAAATAGACATTATCGTAATTTAAAATATTATCGCCGTGTCAGCGACCCGATGATTGTTTGTTATAAGAAGCGAATATCAGTGCAACTCTTTCCAGAAATAAATAAATAAAATCCTCACCATATCATCATAATAAATCCAAAAAATAAAATAAAAAATAAAAAAAACTGGTACGCAGATATCTTCTACTTTGCATTTGCGAAAACTCCGCTTTGAAATGACTTTTCACATCTGAAAAATAAGAATATTGAAATCCTTCTATGAAGTATGGTCATTAAATATAATTATGAGGGGTTATGGAATTCCTCTCTGCGTGTTTATCTGGTATGGGCGGTTAACACATCCATCTAGCACCTGGGGGATCCGCGATTCAAGCCCCAGAGATGGAATTCATATTTTCTGCTTATACTCTCTACAGAGATTTGGATTTAAACTGATTAGGTCTCATATCTCTTACCAAGTCGCCTTTTCAGTAGAATAGAATTCATAAAATTATCACATTTCCCCGAGTTTACTCTTGTTACGTAAGTGAGTACATCCACTAACAGTTGGAAGACCCGTGACTGGAAACATTGCGAAGGTTGCGTTGATTATTCATGTTTCTTGCTGTGAAAAGTCTACAATTTGGATCAAAACTGGGATTGTGATCCGTAAATATCATTTGTAAGTTGTCAGTGCCCTGGCGAACGAGCGGCTCTCTTCTTCTCGGGCCTGATGAATTTGTGAACTTGATTTGCACTCAGTGTAGAATGGGAGGGTAAGTCACTGCAGCTGTAAGCAGGGCAATTTAGCAACTCCAAATACGTTGCGCATGTGTACTTACAGAGAGGTCATTAAAAAACTTCCCCGATATATGAACCCCTAGCGGCCTATCTCCTCAAACAATCGAAACGAAATTTCAAATATTCATTGTTATTTGAAGGCATGCGCTCGAGATTGTTATAATTTAAAACAAAAGAGCTCTCACACTTACGGTTACAGCTAAAAAATTTCGAAATTTTCGAATGCCAACAAGCAGTTTTTTTTTTTTTTTTTTTTTTTTTTTTTTTTTTTTGTTTGTTTGTTCAAATTTATCAGAGCATTGTAAAATATAAATGACGTAGGAACGATACACATACGACGAAAAGTTACCGTCAGCGTAAAGCATTTGCAAAGAACAGCATTGTAAAGGATGAGTGACATCAAAAGAGAGGAGATAGGGGCGGAAACTTTTATTTTGGAAATACAAGTTTTCAACATAACGCAGTCATCAGTCAGTTCTGAAAAATCTCGTGGATTTGATGTGTATATCTTAGATTTCAGATAATCTCAGAACTAGAAATCCATCGACGTGAGGCCAGGGGATCTCAGTGGCCACGAAACTGCAAAGTTATGGGAGATGCCGCTATCTTAAAATGTTACACACACTCAAAGCTTGCAATTCCAATAAAAAATTTTTTCCCGTCTCCTCTCTTGCATTGTCACTGGTCCTTTATAACGCTCTTCTTTGCAAATATCTTACGTCGGCAATTTTCATCGTACGTGTACCGTTCCAATGCCCTGCATTTTCAACGTTTTCAATGCGCTGATCAGTTTGTGCAGGGAAAAAAAAAAAAAAAAAAAAAAAAAATGGGTGCTGCCATTCGAAAAATTTCGAAAACCTTTCACTGCTGCGAAATGCTCTCAATGTAACATTGTAACCGCGAGAGCTCTACTGTTTTAAATCATCACTGAGACTTTCACTGTAACCGCGAAATCATCACAATCTCAAGTGCATACCTTTAAATAACAATATCTGAAATTTCATTTCGATTGGTTGAGCGGATACGCCGCTTAGGGGTTCATATATTGGAATTTTTTTGTGACCACCCTGTGTATAGGCTAATGCTTACTTAGGGAATAAAAGCATCCATTTATTTCAACATTCAAACTGAAAATTCCTCCAATAAATGTACATTTAAAAAATTAATGCAAGCGATCCCCTGGAAATTAAAATGTATGGTTAAATACATATATATTCACAATATAGCACAAATGTTAAAATTTTAATTAGAATACATATTACAAATATGCTTTCAAATTTTCAAATGGAAAATAAAGCATTTGAGTTTAATAAAAAAAGAGTCAACAAAATCTACTAAACTCACCAAGTTGACAGTCGTGCCGCATTCTCTGAGGACCTGGACTGCAGTTGCGTAATCAACGCTTTCCAACGACACTCCATTGGCGCTTATAACTCGATCATTAATCCTGCAAGAAAAGCAGTCTTGTACTCATTATAATTCGAGAGGTAAGCAGTCACGGAAAGAATGACCGGTAACAAAAAGAAAAAAGGAAAGATGAAAGCTTTGTTTAGTTAAAAAAGTTCTCTCCTCTCTGTCTCCATCTCAAAGGATTTGCAACCGATGCACCTTAAAGACGTCATTAGTAAGGGATTCTAAAAATGGTGAATATAAAATGAGAAAGAAAGACCACGAGTGGGTAAAAAGTAAGAAATTGTAAATGTCTGAAGTGCAATATTTAATGAAATCAAAATATACAGTGTATTTAACAGAAAGATTAAACTGAAGAACTAGCTTTTCGAATTTCACCAAAACAGTAAAAATTTGCGTAGAGTTACTAAAAATTTCATGGCGACTGAGTTGCCAAGGAGGAAGAGCGAATATGAGCTGTCTTATTAAGTAAAACATTTGAAGGAAGTAAATTTAGAAGAAAACGTTTGTAGAATATGTTCTACATGCCGCATCTAAAATATACAGAGACTGTTTCAAAAAGGATTTCGAAACTAAATTTTTGAGGAGTCGTTGGACAAATCGTGTGTTCCTTTTTTAAGAAATGAATCAAATTATTAGTTAATATACAATTCATTGAATTATAATGTCCCATAATTTTAAAGTTATAAAATGCACGCATCTTAATATGCAGGTAACGGGGAGGATACAATTAAATCCATGCCGCATGCAAACTTCGTTTTGCCACGTCATGCGGCAGACATTAATTCCATTTTTAAAACAGCGAATTTACAGTAGAAAGTGTTTTATATTTTAGAATTTCGAAGAAGGTAAGGATTTTGTAAGCGTATAGGTCTGCGCGAAAAAAGGCACTCAAAATACAAGGCATAACGAAACTCCTCTTGATAGGTTGGTGCTAGGGAAGAACATCAGACCACCCGCGGAATGTTCGTCTTCAAAACTGAGGTAGAAGTTCAATAGTTAATTCAACAATACCTCACCACATGTAGTAATAGAGAGATGCTAAGCTAGTTTCTCTGTACCTGTTTTAAAATATACGCCACCCGGCGGATATTGTGCTTAGTGACGCTGATAGCCATACCGAAGGGCTCGGATTCGAATCCCGGAGATGGTACGGTTGTTTGCGAGCGTACAATGGTTGTGCAGCAAAAGACACTCAAAATACAAGGCATGCTAAAATCCTCTCGAGAAGTTGACGATAGACAAATGCACATTTGAAAAGTATATCCGATTATTAAGGGCAGACTCGCATTTAAAAATATAGTGTTGGCGGTTTTTTTCCCCCTTTTAAGTCGTCTTTCCTTCTCCATACCACCTTTCATATTTCTTGAAAAATATATGAAAACTGTAACTAATTTATCACTTGACTGTTATGTTTCAAATGCGTGACAACTGGCGGTTTCTTACTAAATTGGCGATGTTCTAGAAATTTCAGAAAAATGCGTTTTCGAAACCGTAGGAGAGATTCTCACTGAAGGTTATAGAAATGCTTACTCAAGTCCATAGCGGCTATTGATCAGTTAGTGAATTCTGCAGTAGGTTCTTAGTGTGCTTACATCTTTGAGACTCTGCTTAGTGATTACAGCTTTGGACTTTGCTTTGAGAGCGACTGTCCTGATGTATGGCATTCCTCCATGTGCTAAGGTGAATTTCGCCTTATTACTGTTGCTCTCTTTGAATTGTTTATAACTGCTTTATCTAGCTATATGAGCTATTATTTGTGTCTAAAAATGCATACCTTACTAATCTTCTAGCCTTGTTAGTTAAGGAGACCATGACGAAAACTAACATAACAGTTTGGTATTCAAAACCATTTAATTGCCTATCCTGTAAATCGACTTCAAGTTCAGGACACTAGGTTTATTTTGCTAAATACTTTCAAAAAATGTAAGGTCGTCTTATATTTGCGGCCGCCTCAGAATGGCAAATTTTTACAGTGTCTGCTACTTTTAATATAATCTAACAGTTGAAGCTCACGAGATGGTTACTGTATTTGAGAAGTAGAGCGAAAATATAGGCTTTCTCATATCACCAATGTACCATGACAACAAGAATGCCGATAAAATTCTGAACTTCAGGACAAACACGTGACCCTAAAAAGATTCTGGGTGCTTTACGGAACTTGGATATAAGTAAGATCGGAATTCAGCGCAGGCGGCCTTAACAAACATTAATTTGAGGACTGTGGAGTGTTTCACAATTATATGGGTTTTAGGAGCCAATAACCAACGAAAACACTCCTGAGGAGTCCACGATACAAAGCTATGCAGCTCATCCGCACTCAGTAATTTAGACATTAGATATTTGATGGCTGGAAGCGGGATCCAACTTAGCCGTCATTTAGTGGGACCCCCATTACATCTACAAACGTTTCCAATAAAGTCAACGCTAATATGCATCTTTTGCAGCACTATGGGCCACATACTACACATCAAATTTTTACCTGGCAGGTATTACTCTTTTCTAGTGACATGAATTCTTTCAGCAATTTCCGAAGACTTTTAATTTTTAGAAGTCATTTTAATGAGTCCCTAAGAACATTTCTCCCGTCTTTAGAATTTCGTAGCTCACCACACATACATTTTAGCTTTCTTTTCTGTTTATTGCAGTTTTTGTTCCTGTCTCTTAAATTTTTCATATCCAATGTGCATAAAAAATTCAATCCCCCCTCCCCCAAAAAAGGGGAGGAGATAGAGAGAGATAGCGAAGTTCGTGTCAAATATTTTAAAATTACTACTCTCTAGATTTATAAGCACATTTAACAAGGTTCCACTCTTCAAAACAAGACTGAAAATCAAAAGTATTAAATCATTTAATATCACATATTTTCACAGATTTTACTTTTATAGCGTGAATCTAATTCGAAAAAGATTGCCTTTCAATTTTAAAACATTTAAGAATAAAAATTTAATCAAATAACTCATTCAAACATGTTTATTGCTAAACAAAGGGAAAAAAGTACGTTTTTTAACATATAGTTCTATGGATAATTGTACCCTAAATTACACAGTAAATGAGAGAGTGAATCTGACATTCTTCATTAGGCCTTCATATATTGGCACAAGTTGGAAAGTGCAGTTTTAATCTCCTTGTCCCTTTTGTATTTTTCATTTCCCGGAACCCTCTTTTAGTTGATTTATTACTAAAAATTTTGCCCTACGTAAAAAGTGCGTAGAATTAATGAAAGATCTTTCCTAGCTATTATGGGAACTTCCGTTTTATCTATCTTCGAAACTGTGATACAGAAAAATACACATTCTTATGAAGAATAACTTAAGTATTTCGTCAGATTTTATGATGAATTTGATCTAATATCAATAAACTGCTTTTACTCATAAAACGGAAATACCAGCACATGTTCGGCATTTTATAATAAAAAGTACCCCTAGCCTTTCCTGGAAATTCTTAATAAAAGTGAATGCTTAACAAGAATGTGGGCTAATCTTTAGAATGTGGTAACAGGTAGTTTGGCGACATTTTGGTAAGGCGATAAAGGTTACTAGCTAGGACTTTAGCAATAATCTGAGAAGTACACAGTTCGAATCACAGATTATTTTGTCTCAGAGAAATGAGAGATCATGAGACATGTAATGTCACATTTTCCGGAAAATTCTGATCGTGATTTTAGCTACTAAGCACTTAGAAACAATTTTGCACAAATAAGTGCAGAATCGCCCACTTATTTGTTTGACCTTTTTACAAGAGTAAGAGGAATTGGATTTTTGTCAATTTTGACTTTTTAAGTGAAAATAGGTTTATGTGTACATAGATAAAGTCAAGAGTGTGCGCAATGCCATTTTTGTGCAATTCTAGGATGTATTTTTAAGTGAAAATAGGTCGACGTGTACATGGATACCGTGTATGTGCAATTCTTAAAACGCGGCAAGCAGTTTGCGATTCTGCACTTTCTCCCAATTTCGCACCTAATCTTCGTCATGATTAAGCATTTTTGTTCCATAAAAGTTCCAGTATAAGCGTAATTCGGCTAGCAGATTATTGGAAAAAATGTTGAGGGAAAAAAAAAAAAAAAAAAAAGCCTTTACTTCGTGAAAACAAAATGGCATCCAAAACAAAACTAGCAGGTTGCTGTAGCAGGGTTGGTCGCCAAATTTTCGCCAAAAAATCGCCAAGTTACCATAATGTAAAGATTCACCAGAATGTGAATTATAGTCAATGAACATGATTCTACGGACTTCACTTAATTAAGTCTTTTTTTTTTTTTTTTTTTTTCCATAAAATATGCACAATGATAAAGAGTTATCGTTAAAACCTCTCTTCTTCATAAACGGTTTTCAGAAAGATGGAAGTGCTTTTGCCAATAGAAAGATCTACCGCAGTTAACAAAAACAAGGATGCTACTGAGCAACCGGTTAAAACTAAGTTTTAGATTAGTGTGTAACGTTTTCTTACATGCATTGACACAAATTCAAAGAATCATACATACGGTATGGCACGCACCGAGGGGATGCATTCCCAGCAATATATCACTTATGGCAATTTCTGGGGTTACCGCAACGTTCACAGGAAAACAGAGTCATTTGAATTAGCGTTTGGTTGCGGTAGTTTTAACAGCAAAGTAGGACAGTAGGTGATATTCATGACGGTATATCCCAGGGTAAGAGCTATAACGGGAGAACCCAAAACGCTTTTTCAACTTTTTTCCCGAGAAAAAGGGTAACAGGCTGACTTACCTGAGTTTTCCTTCGGCGGGTCCAGCTTTCAGTACGTCGGATATAGCGATCGAAGGATCGCCATTCGCAAAATGTGGGTTATCTCGGCCACCACTCACAGCAATTCCGAAACCATAACCAGGCGCCTGCGGAAGAAAAGAAAAGAATAACGTTAAATATAATTGCAAGATACACATCTATTTATTTCCATCTATGTATTAGACAAATGTTTTAAACTATTTTTCAAGCCAATAAAAAGTAAAAATATTAATGCTACAAATTGTAAATTTAAGCAGTTTATAGCAATGATCCTCAGACTGTGCTCCGCGAAAGCCTGGCGACAATTATCGCCTACCACAGTTTAGTTTGGGCGCCAACGAATCAACCATTAGATATTTTGTACCAAGATACACAGCAAGCATCACTGAAACTTAAACCATGGATCTTTCAGTTTGATAGCCAGACATGTTAACCAATTATATCATGAGAAAACGTACCGGGAAATGTGATAATTACTTATGTAAATAAGTTTAAGATAAATAAGTTTATATAGATTTAACCTTAAATACTAGAGCAAATACGCACATACATATGCACAATGAGGTTCAAGGTTACTCTACCTGATCTCCATCATAATACCTACAGACAAAAATGCATGATATAAAATTAATTTTGGAGTGAAATTTTCTCTTAAAATATATCATACCAGAACTATTTGATTTTTATTAGTGTTTCTAAGCTAAATAGTCGCTCTTTAACATAATTAATGTATTGTTTATGAAATGAAAAAAAAAATTACCATGAACCAAATTTCACTACAGCAGAAATTTGTACAAAGATACAACCAGAAAAGATAGCTGACAACCTATTTTTACACAACGGATTCTATCAAGTTACTTAGAAAGTGAATGTAGCTCTACCAATATATCGAACCAATACATTGAGCTCTGCCAATATATAAAGTAGTTACTTAGAATGCCTACCACAGATAAACCAAAAAACACTACAAAAGCAATTCAAAAGCGTAGAAATAGAGCAAAGCGAAAATTGTTTTACACATTCCAAGAACAACCGACAAATAAAAATTCGAATATAAAATGGCGAAAGAATACGTTTTGTTACTGCATACATTACCAAGATAAATAAATATGTAAGGGCATGCAAATTGTAGCATATACGTCAGAAATTCAGAATGCTACGCAATACAAATACACGTATAAAAGAAATAAAGTAAACAAAAGCCTTGCGTTTATACTATTTTATTTTTATTTTTTAATACACAAATTCTGTACTATTATCAGTTTTTCGATTGCAGTTACCTTAGCATTGCGGCAGAATTCAAAGCAGGACATTGGAAAACGATTACAAGCTTGAAATGCGCATAAAAGGAAAATAATTGTTAAGTCTTTATCGCTAAAACACAGTTATTCCCATATGCTTTAAGCCGAATGAAAAAAAAAATAATAATAATAAAAAGAAATACAATTCTTTTTTTACATTTTCGAATTCTAAACTTGAGCTAGCATGCACCCTAAAAAAAATTCTAATAATAAAAGGAAAATACATAGAAAAGAACCTACTTTTGAGCTCTTTAAAGATTTTCGTTTAAGTCTTAAGGATTAAGAGAAGAGCGGGGGAAAAAAGATTGTTTTAACTATAATAAAAGGAATTATTACGCTACATTGAATAAAGTGGAGTAAGTGATAATAAGTTGCTGTGCATTGTTTAAGTTATTCTGTGAAAACAGTTTTACCTTGAGAATATAAATAAACAATTTATTCTTTATTCAAAAATTTTGTGATAATCCAAACACCTCAAAATACATTGAGCTGTTCGTGCATTAAATGATAAATTATAAAAAGCTTAGATAATTCTACCGATGTTTATTACTTAGAGAAAATTTTCAACGCTCCACACACAGACTTTTTTTCTATATTATTATTATTTAATTAATCTTTTTAAATCACAGTTAACATACAGATTAAAAACTGTCTTCGTAGTTTTGCTATTCTAAATTGTTCGCTCGTTCCCGACAAAAGTATCTTAAAATGGAATAATGACGTATGAGTTACCACCGTTCTTCTACGGAAAATGGTTTCTGCGACATTACCTAAAGGTGTAGTGATCCGTTACGCTATTAATAAGTTAAGATTTACTTAAGACAATAGGCGATATGAACCCTTATATCATGACCCCCACCCTTTCTTTTCCATGTGCTATAGATTTGTTTTTGAAAAAAAAAAAAAAAAAATTTGCGGGGAGAAAGAGTCTTCCCGAAAATATAAACACATAACCTGAATCAAAGATGTTAATTTTTTGTCAGCAAATATTATTTTATCCAGGGCTAAATTCAGCCGGAAAACACTGGAACTGTTCTCCCCATAAGATATACCCCATCTGTAGGAAATGTAATACTGATCATTTCGCTTCTGGACAAATTCTCAACTATTTGGGACTTGTAAAAGAGGACCTACTGGAAATACTGACGGCTCTTAGATTCATGGATCTGTTCTATCCTCATGGCTAACTAGTTAGGAACAGTAACAACAACAACACTTCTCAGCTGTTGCATAACAAATTGCAAATTCAAGCCGCAAATAAAATGATGCTGATAAAAGTATGTTTTCTCGAAGTATAAAGCTGGCGCATATATCTTTCTAGCGGAAGATGAGTGCGTGTGTTGTCCTACAACGAAAAAAAAAAAAAAAAAAAAAAAAAAAAAAAAAAAAAAAAAAAGATTTTTTTTTTTTGTCATCAACCCATTATACCAAGCAGATCGGATTATGATTTTAATAACACCCACAATAAAATATTTTGCATATGATTAATAATGTTCTGCTTCAACTAAAGAAACACTTAGCTTAAAAAAATTAATTAAAACAATATTGCGTTCTATTCTGTAAGACAGCATTAAGGATTTCTCAAGTCTTTTTTCATTGTGAGTTGTCTTGTGTTTTGAATAATGTTTTATAAAGTCAAAAATTGCTAACAGCTTTGAATAAAAACTTCAACAACTTTTCTAGTAAATTTTTCGTTTTCTAGTCTCAAACAGAGAACTGATTTTATCGTTATTACTTTATTATTATTGTTTATTTTATTGTTGGTTGGTTTGGTTGGTTTATTAAATTACGGCAAAGCGCTCGAGGGATATCTGCCTTAAGGGAGAGATGCCTTCGTGGAGGACTTTTTAAGGGAAACTGGCTCGTATACACGTTACACATGGGGAAAACCACGAGAACACACATGCAGCCAGCCCGTTCGCGGGATTCGAACCTCGGACCGACCTACCAGTGTTCAGCGACGTTACCGCTCGGCCGCTGGTGGGCTTTATTTTATTATTATTTTAGGATTTAGGAAGCTGCTCTTTTTACTAATAACAGCGAAAACATACTGAATTTCATGCACGATTTCAATCCTTTCATACCAAACTTTAATTTCCTGTAGATTGTTAGAACATATCCTATTCTTTTTCAAAGAATTTATACCGTTCTACATTATTTAAGGAATACCATAAGGGGTTTAATGCAGATATTTACTGAATGATACCAGAACTTTCGAGAAGAAATCAAGTAACTTTCCTCTTTCATGAAAATTTATGCATAATTACGATATATCATAAAAGTTTGAAGACTTCACGTGCTATGAAACAGCTTGGAAAACGTTGAAATAATCTAAAAGTTTGAATTCCTATAAAAAGTTTAGATATTTTCGTATTACTTCCGCAGTTATATCTCTTCAGTCGAACTTGAAGACGTGTTAACTTGTAGAGACAGGATTTTTGGAAGCAGGCAGGATGAAAAATGAGCAACGCCTTCCCCAGGAATCGAAACCGCGGACCTCTGGAATACGTGCCCAGCGTGCAGACCACCACACCACGAAGGCACGCCAAGAAGGCGGGAGAAATACCTTATAAACTAACTACATTTAATACATGATTTGATATATTTCTTGTATTTTTTCCCGAAAATAGAAGTTTATACTACGCATGTGCAAAGTATTACGTTTCATCAGTTAAATTTTACACTCAAATCAATGAACACTTTTACTATTCTAAGTATCACATTTGATGTTCGTATATGCTCTTAATATCCATTAATTTTGCTTAATACACAATTACAAAACGCGAACTAGAAGTTAAAGCTAAATAGGGCTATATCATACTCTGAATACATACTAGAATTTTCAAGAATTATTCAAAAAATACATTCAGTTGTTAAAAAGGTAACCATGTTTTATATAATCATACACAGATTTCATACATTCACTTAAAATCTGTTAACTATTTTATCAGAGGGATAATGTATACGCCAAATAAATATGATATTGCAATGCATTCACTTAAAATCTGTTAACTATTTTATCAGAGGGATAATGTATACGCCAAATAAATATGATATTGCAATGCACATAGATCTTCACGTAAGCGTGTAACACATGTAGAATTTTCAGTTCTACGCGAAGACTGAAAAGAATATTCTGGATCTGGGTATTTATGCATATTTAGCATAGAATATTTTTATTTGGATAATAATCTAATTTAAAAAAATCTTTCTTATTAACACGTTGAGCGCCAAGCGTATTTCTTAGGCAATCCCGTTCAGGCCACGCGAGCCGCTTAAAAGCGCTGGCATTGTAGGGCCAGCGATTCTTATCGCAGTAGAAGATAGTTTACGTTTGGAACGCGATTCCTATAGGCATTCATTCAACACGTTACGCTCCAAATCTGTTTTGTAAATAGTTACATTCTATGCAAAGATATTACGAAGCAGAAAATTAGCATTACTGAAATCCGGAGAGTTAGCGCTATCCCTTACAAGGTGTGAAAAAGAAAATATTCCATCGAACAGAAATGCAAGAATATCTAAAAAACGACAGCATAAACTCCCCCCCCCCAAAAAAAAAAAAAAAAAAAAAAAAAACGGAAAAAGCATCTGAAGTACGGAAATATTGTAAATTATGTTATGATAAAAATGCAACTGAAGCTGGTAGAGTAATAGCCAGAAAAAAGACTAAGACAGTTGTCACAATTTGTAATAGCTGTAATGGAGAACCGTTTTTATGCTTACCGTGTTTCAATCAAATCCATTAGCCCTGTAATGAATCAAAATTAAGTAAATTTTAAATAATTTTTCTGTAATTCCATAAA